ATGGAGCATACATGGCAGGGGGCCGGGGCACGGACGGTCAACAAGCACAGAGGTGAGGTGTTCTTGCGGGAGGCACCAGAGAGAGAAGGCAGGAGGCAGAGCAGGGGAGGGGAGGAGAGGGGTGGGAGGCGGCGGGCTGCTCGGGTGGCCCTGGAAGACCTCTTCCAGGTGCGATTTGAGCTGAGAACTGAAACCGACTGAGGGAGAGGGAGACAGGTGGATGGGGGGCGCGGGTTCCAGGCAGAGGGTCCCCCATGTGCCAAGGCCTGAGGAGCTCAGGGAGCAGCAGGGAGGCCAGCGTGTCTGGAGGGGAGGGAGTTGGGGAACAGTAGGGGGAGGTGGGGTCCGAGATAACAGGGGCCTTGCGTCCCCGGCCTCCAGTGCTGGAGCCCACCTGACCCGCCAACCCTACTCCCAGCTGTGTTTCCCCCGCTGCCTTCTGGCCCCTCCACATGGGTGCCTGACCCCCAGCACCCTTGACCGTGACATATTGAAACTGGTTGTTCTCCTTCACCCCCACCCCCAGTCCTGCTGCTTTCCCTGTCTCTCCAGGCTCCGCAGGCCTCCCCGCTCCACCCTGTGTTCCCAGGCTTGCTGGCCAGGCCCTGGTCTTTAACCGTGTCTCCTCCTGCGTCCCTCTTCCCGAGACCTAACATCCCCAAGCCAGCTCCTCCCTCTCCACCCCCCACCACCACTACCCCGTCCCATCACTTAGCAGTTGCCATGGCCACCCCTGGCCTGCCTGCGACCTGCCCTCTACATCGTCTTGGCCCCACCAGGCTTCCACTCGCTTAGTCCAGGACGCGCAGCTGGTTAGGGGAGTTCCTGTGAAAGTCTCCAACAGCCTCCGGTGGCTTCCCCGATACCAACCCATGTTTCGGGCTTCAGCTCCCACGTCCTCCCCCAGACCCCGCTGGATGTCCCCCAGTTCACACTTGTCACGGTCTCCTAGTCCCTCAGTGTCCCCATGACCCCATGTCTTAGTTTAGGCAGCTGCTTTGCCCGGGTGCTCCTCTCCATCTCTGCCTATAAATATCTTCTCTGTGATCTTGAGCAAAGACCGAATCTTTAACAAGCCTCCCTCAGACTCCCAGGTGGAATTATTAGCTCACTCACCCCTAGTTCAGGAACCCCTATTCCTACTTTTAATTGAACCTCAATCTGTGCCAGGTGTTGTGCTGTGATACATTTTATGATTTCCGCCCGGAAAACTGTTCTCGAGAAAACTGTTCCCCTGTTTCAGGCGAAACGACCGAGGCACAGAGAGGTTAAGTGGTTCGCCCAAGACCTCAGCACACCCAGGAGGTGGCGGTGAAGTCGGAACCCACATCTCGGGGACCCAGAGCCTCTCTTGCAGACAGCTGTTCCTTTAATCAGGCCTCCTCCTCTTTGGTCCCTGTGTTTCTCTCCCCCACTAGATTCCTCAAGGGCCATTTCTTTCTTTTCTCTCTGTTGTTTATCCCCGCTGCTTAGCCCGGTGCTTGGCATGCAGCAGGAATGCACTTGCACCATGGAGGGAGCGCGGGCACAGATAAACCGAGGAATACAAATGCCTTCTCCTCCACGATCTCACGGAATCGGCAGCAATCCTCAAAATGGCCATTAGCAGCTTCCTCTCACAGCCCAGGAATGTGCAGCTTAGTTAGAAGCACAGGAAAAAAAAAAAAAAAATCCTGCCTCCAGTAAGGGGGAAGAAGCCAGGGCTGCTGCTGTCCTGTCTCTGGGCTTGAGAAACCCAGTGCTCATGGGCTGGGACACGTCCGGGAGCAACTGGCCAAGAAAGAAGTGCTCTGAGGGGATGAAGTCATGTTCCCAGAGCGAATAAAGCCAAGGCTCTTACCGCAGCCTCCGAGGGAGGGAAATTAAGGACACAGCTGCAGCCCTCCAGGTGACCAGAGAGCCCAAGGTCAGTGCGGCCAGAGGGTGCGATCTGGCCCCGCAGACATCCACAGAGGGCCAACGGTGTGCCCGGCCAAGGTGCTGAGTTAGCACCACCGGCTGCCCAAAACATCTCAGCCAATGAACTCTCCGGAAAAGCCAGCAAAATCTGGTGTTTACAAGCAGGGGAAAGCAGGATCACCGAGGAGGACGCATAGGAGGCGTACCTGATGCTGCATCTGATGTGTTTTCAGTGCCAGGAAACCGGTTCGCTTCCTAAATGTATGGGTTCTGGGAGGTTTGCAAACATGTCACAGCTCTTGGCAAGCAGCTCCGTGGGCACGTGGGAAAGGCCGCTCTCCCATTTGGAGCAGATGTTACCTGTGGCTTCGACACCCTCTCCTGTCCCTGTGAGCCCGGAGCAGCTCACGTCACCAGCATCGTTTCTATGGCCGTGGGACAGGAAGGCCACAGGCCTGCCGGCTCCCTGTGTGTGGGCAGCTCCCTATGGGTGGGGCCGTGCTACCCTCAGGCCGTCCTAAAATCCTGCTGTGCCATAGCTTCAGCAGGGGAAACTGAGGCCCAGGGAGGAAAGGCATTAGCCTGAAGTCACAGCTTGAACCAGGCGACCCACAGTGCTCCTGGGCATTCAGCCCCGTGGTCAGGGTTTAGGGAAGCGGCTGCATCGATCCCCAGAACACTTACATCCTCAGCAGAGGCCAGGGTCAGAAATCAGGAGATGAAGGAGAAAACAGCATCTATCTCTGAGGCCTCTGTGCAGACTAAAAGGCCCAGTGCCTGTCCCCGGTACCCTCGTGACACTCTGCCTTCCAGAGCGAGAGGCGCAGGCGGCCCACCGACTGACCACAGGGCCTGACGGGAGAACTGCGGCTCAGTGGGGGCAGACACTGCCCTTGACCCCCTCCGTGGCTGGCTTGCGGTCCTTCTGCCTAAGGCACAAAGACTGGGGAGCTCGCCCCAGCAAAGGAAATCCCCACTCGAGTTGGGTTTTGTAATCTCCCTGCAGATCTTGCCTGGTTAACCCTGAGGGTCATTTTAATTTTCCAGAGCTTTCTGACTTCCCTCGGATCCTTAATCAGATAAGGGCTCTGAGTGTGTGTGTGAGCGTGTGTGCGTGCAGGACCGCGTGCCTGGGCCCACTCGGCTTTCCTGCCCTGTACTTCCTCCTCCCCTCCCTCCCACAAGCACGATCTCTGTCTCTCTCTCTCTGTCTGTCTCTCTCTCCATAATCACCTCCATCTCCTCCAAAGTGCTTAATGGAGTCTGGAAATGAGAGGAAGAACAATTTCGTCTCAGAGCAGACGCGACGCCTCACTCCTCTCTTTCCTGTCCCCATCACTTTTCCTGTCGTTCTGAAAGAGGGTCTGCGTTGGGAGCCAGTGTCTCTTCACTGGAGGGAACGGGACCTCCTTCCTCCACCTCTTTTGTTGTCCCCGTTCTTTTGCGATTGGGTTCTCATGCAACTGCCTGAACTCAGTGTTGCCCTTGGTCGCCAGTGCATTCAGGCCGGTGGAGGGGGACGGAAGGGGAACAGGACGTATGAAGATACTTAACTGGATGGGGAGGAAGGCTGGTGGCTGGCCAGCGTCATGGCAACGCCCAGGGACAGAGTCCAATGGGAGGCCTCTGGAAGCTCATCTCCTGAAACTTGTTGTTGGGGGCTGTTGACTTCCCCTCCCAGCCCGTCCATCCAGCAGAGCCCAGCACGGCTGGGAAAGTGGCACTCAGCTGTCTTGTGCCACAGAGGGCTTACGCCCATCCCGGTGGTGGGGGGCATTTTTCTCAGGCCTGGAGGCCCTGCCCTCCCAGGGCCGGGGAGGTCGGGGATCAGCTCGATGGAGTGACACAAAGAAATGAGCAGAAAAACGCCATCTCTGCAAATCCGGAGCTGTGTTTATCTTTGTCCCACTGTGCCTGGCATGAAGCTTGGTTCCCCGTAGGCATTTAATGAATGTGTGTGGCTCTGAACTGAATTATCCATTGATGGCCTTGGGCTGGACCAGGTCCCTGGAGGCCCTTCCCTGCCCTAAGGGCTCAGGGTCTGATATACATGCCGCTCTCTACCTGCAGTGCGATGGTGCTGTGCTGGGCGCTGTGGGCGGGGAGGCGCCGGCCCTGTCTTGGGAGCTCACCTCGAAGGCTTTGCTGAGAAGGCAGTGAAACCACCAGTGAGTGCCAGGGGCCCATCTGCACCGTCCCCGTCCCCGAGTCTTCCAGAAGCAGAGGGTCCTGACACGCAAAAGGCCCTGGGAGTCACCTTGCCTGGCCCCACGGCTGATCGGTGTGCCAGGGCTGTAGGGATGGCCGGCCCAGGGTCTCACATCCGGGACAGAGTCAGGAGACAAACCAGCGTGGCTGACTCCCGGAACGGCCCTCTCTCCACAACGGCGGGTTGCCCGGTCGTGGAGGCCTGGGTGTGGAATGGTCACAGAGTGGTCATGGGCCCGGCTAGGCGGTGCTCTAGGACCCAGAAGAAGAAGGCACACCCAGCATGCGCACCTTTAACCTTTCCTGCTTTGTCTGTTCCTCGGTTCATTTCTTTGCTCATTCATTCATTCGTGCCATGAATATTTAATGAGCACCCCTCTGTGCCAAGCACAGGAAGTCGACTAGGCTGAGCCCTTGCAGGGAGGGGCTTACAGTCTAGTCCTGGCTCCCCACCCGGACTCAGCCTCCCGGGCCTTGCTCTTCGAGGACCCTGTCAGCCCCTGGCCAGCGTGGCTGCCTCTCTCAGCGCCCCTGAGACCCACTGCTGAGCCCCTTCGGGCAGCACTTCCTACCTGGCCTGCCCCGCCTCACAGAGGGAGCCTGGACACTTTGCCCAGCGTGGCACCTACCCAGCTGCTCAATAGGAATGGGCACCACCCCTTCCTGCATCGGGGGTGCATCAGGAGTGTAGCCCAGGCTTGGTTGTCTGCCTGTCCCTGGGTCATCTGGACCCCAGACGCTTTCTGTGGCCACAGCTGTGTCCAGAGCATAATGAGCTCTCTCTGCAGGGAAGGGGCGGGGGCAGGTGGGGGAACTCAGCTGAGCTCCTGGTCAGGGTCTGACCTTTGACCCTGGCCCTTGCCAACTCTGCATTCAGCGACCTGCCTGCTCTCTATGTTTGGGAAGCCACTTCTGCTGGGACACGGGGTCTCCTAGGAATGGAGCCCTGTCCCCTCGGCTGTCTCCCTGTTGCCCTCTCCTCACCTGCCCAGAACCCTCCTTTGGCTGCTTCTGCCCTTGCTGGGCGGCTCGGCCCTCCTCCCCTCTAGCCTTTGATACTGCTTGCTCCCTGAATGCAGCCGTCCATGGTCTGGCCTGCAAGTCCCTGACCCGCAGCAGGCGGGGCAAAGACGAATCCCCGGGAGTCCTCAGGCAGGTCTGTAACTCTCAGTCCCGGGGTGGACAGGAGGGAAGAATGGGCTGACGCTCAGGAGCTCAGGAACACTTTCCTGTCCCTGAGCTGAGACGGGTCCTGGTGAGCAGGCAGACTCCGACTGGCTAACAGCTGGATCTCCCGCTGGGCCTGCGAGGGGGCACGGGCAGAGCATTCAGGGTCTGGAGTTGGCCCGGAGTCTCTGAGCGGCTTGTTCTGGGGCCGTGGCAAAGGCGCCTGGGGGGTAACAGGCACTCTGGGTCCTGTTTGTTTTGCCTTTTCTCCAGCCTCCTCCCTTTTGGCCCTGTGTTCACTCTGCTTCCATTATCAATGGGTGAAGTGGAAAATAATCTGGCTCTTAGGGGAATGTGCGTCCCTGCTCCCTTCTCTGCTGCTAATGGAACCAGCAGCTGTCCCCAGCCGTGTGTGGCTGCCCCGATCCTCTGAGGACGGGGTGGGTGGGGGGGAGAAGACCTGCCAGGGGAAGGGACTTTGCTCGGTTTCATCTCCCACCGGGCACAGGGCCGACAGCAGGCAGGGGGCCCTGAGAAACAGAGCGATTGATTTGGAGGTGGGGACTTGGGCATAATCATCACAGCTTCCGTGTATTGATCACCTCCTGTGAGTCAGGCAAAAATCTGAGTTGTTCTTGTTGAATTATCTCATTTCGGCCTCTCACCGGCCCCAGGGATAGCTATCATCTCCCTCCGTGGGAACTGAGGCTCAGAGAGGTTCAGTAACTTGCTCTCGGTCGCACAGCTGGAAAGAGGCTGAGCTGGGAGCTACACCCGGACTGCCTGAGTCCATCGTTCTTTCCTGGCACAGCAGGGGGTGCCGAGAGGGTGCAGACACAGAGCTCCAACAGCACGGTGCCTCATCCCTGATTCTGCCCTGGAGAACAGGCAGGACCGTCCCGTCCCCGGGTGTCCCTCTTCCAGTGGGAGGGGTTTCCCGAGGCAGTCTGGGACTGCCGAGCCTGAGGCATGTGGAACTCCCAGCTCAGGGGGGCACGTGGGTCGTATCCAGGAACCCAGGAGTGTGCGGCACGCCTTTGGCGCCATCTTGAAAGTCACTTTTGCCTTTTTCTTATGGTAAAACCGTGCCAATTGTGTGCCCGTGTCACACCTTGGATGGGTGGACCGTCTGCGTTGTGTTCAAGAACTCCAAGTCTGAGAAGATGCAGCGATGAGCCCCACGCTGAATGGGTGAGGTGAGATGAGGTTAGGATGTCTTTGGAGGTTGACAGGGGAAGTTCAAGGCCAGCTGGAGCATTCGAGAGGAATGGCAGTGTAAGGCCATGCCTCTAAGAGAGCCCAAGGCCTGCTGGGCACTGCCCGGCGTTTGGCCTGGGCTCAGAGTGGCCTCAGGAAAGGGCCTTCCCTCTGTGACACCCTGTACATAGTAGGTGCTCAATAAATGCTCAGATCAAGAAGGAATGGGCCCCCTCCAGGGAACTGATTGCTCTAATTTGGGAATGCCCCCCCCCCCCCCCCCGCAGAAGAAGGAAACATGAACTTTTTTCGGCCCCTGCCATAGGTCAGGTACCCCGCTAGGCATTTTCACATATCTCATCTCAGCAGGTCGGGGCTTTTTTCAAAGTGGGACATTAAAGCTTCCACGTGGGAAAGCAACACACGGCTCCCCAGGAAAACCCCCCACTGCCGCGGAAGCACGAGTCCCACTCAACTCCCCAGTTCCCCTGGGGAGGCCTGTGGGGTCCGTTCTCCTTACCCATCTTTGGTGCCTCTCATTTGACTATTCCGTGTTCATGGCTGTGCCATGGTGCCGCCATGGTATTGCCCGTGGTGCTGCACCCGTGCTCTGGGGGTTAGAGTGGCCCTCGACAAGGAGCAGGCAGGGGCAGATACCTCCTGTGCTCTCCCGAGGGTCCCTGCGCCCTGGGCCTTGGAGGCTGCGTGGTATTGTAAGGAGACCACAGGTTCTGGGGCCCCCACCTGTGCCTAAGTCCTGGCTACTGTCCTGTGGACTTGCTGGGTGATCTCGGGCAAGGCCCCTCTACCCACTGGGCCTGGGTTTCTGGTCCTGCCAGACAATGGGGATGGGGAGGGACTGTCATTCCCTGCGTTTTTGTTTTATTCTGTTTTTGTCCTCTCCTCACCTCTGAGCTTTCATGCTCAGTGACCCTTGGCAAGTTATTGACCCCTCTGAGCCTCAGTTTCCTCCTCTGATAAAGGAAAGCCCCCCCTTGTAGGTTGTCATGAGGATTAAATGAGATAATACATGTAACTGCAGAAAGTGCTCAAACTTGCACTTCCAGACCCTGGTGCCAGTCTGGAAAAGACTGTCTATCAGAAACCATGTGTCTACTAATAATGATGATACTACTAATAATAGCAAACGCACACAGAGCTGTCTATTTCAGAGGATGTTCTAAGCAATTGGTACATGTTCTGTTTTATCCTCGCTCAACCCCTGTGGGGTGCACACTATGAGCACCCCCATTTTCCAGATGATGAAACTGAGGCCGGGAGAATTTAAGGGGCTTGCCCCAGGTCTTGCAGCTGACAGTGATGAGGATTTAAATCCAGGTTGTTGGACTGCAGAGCCCTCAGCCCCCCGCAGGGCTAGGAGGCAGCTCCCAGAGGGGGGCAGCTGTCCGGGCCCGAGGGTTCCCTCGCCAGGCTGGGTCCCCCTCTCTGCTGGACCGCTGCCACCTCTCGCCCCCTGTTTGAAGCCGGCAGGTGGGGGAGGGCGGCTGGGAGCCTGGGTGTGGGGGGTGCATCTGTGCACAGGTCTGAACACCTGCCTCCATCTCGATCTGATCCCTCCCGTCCTCTCTCTGCGGACAGGAGACGGCACCTGCTTCCCATCGCCTTCCCGGAGCCGCCTGTCTGGTTTTTATCCCCTCAGCACCAGGATGGGAGGGATTGTCCGCAGGGCACAGACCAGGGGTGGGGAGGGGGGCAGAGGGAAGGTGGGGGCAGTGTGTGCAAAGCCCCACTTTTTGAGCCAGGGGCTCCTCGGCCACTGCCAGCTGCACCCCCACCCCGCTCCCAAACCTTCAGGGACACTCCAGGTGCACTAGCCAGTAAGGTCCTCATTCCCTGGTCTGTAAGTTGGGCCGCTTCTTGAGTCCAACCTGAGTTCGAATCCCACCTGCACTGTGTACTTGGCTAAGATGCGTAGTTGTTTGGAGCCTTAGTTTCCTCATCTGTAAAATAGGGTTACTGATACCGGCCTTGCAAAATCAATGGGATATAACTGGTATTCTATTAAGCTTCTAACCTGGGGCCAGCACACAGTAGGTGCTTCAGCATTTTCTCCATATTTTATGTATTACCCTCCCCAAGCCTCTAGCGGCATTTACTATGACCATCCTCATTTTCCAAATGAGGAAACTGAGGCATGGAGAGGTGGAGTTACTTGCCTAAGGTCAAGTAGCAGAGGTCAAATGGCAGAGGCTTCACATCCACCAGCTTCTCCTAGTCACCGGGCCATCGCTCCGCACCCATCCTGCCCTTCGCCCCGCTGGCCCGGCAGCTCTGCCTTAGCTCACGCAGGTCCCTCCACCCGGCTGCAGACTTTCAGGTCTGTCTTTGATGCTGCCCCTGCGGAGGACCTCTCCTGGTTTGTTAGCAGAACGGAGTTTCCCTCCTTGCCATGAACCTGTGTCTTTCTTGGATATTAAATCAAAGAATTTGGGCTCGACCCCTAGCCCTGCTGCCCAAGTACAGGGTGTAACCAAACGTCAGTCACCTCGTCCCGGCTGCGTGCCTCAGCTGCTTGGAACGTGTTCCTGTGCACCCAGAGCTTGTGGGTTTGACGCTCGGTCAGGGCACGTGCCCGGGCTGTGGGTTCGATCCCCGGTCGGTGTGTATGGGAGGCAACACACTGATGTCTCTCTCACGTTGATGTTTCTCTCAAATCAAGAAACGTATCAGGTGAGGATTTTTTAAAAAGTAAACCACCTAGTCCCTTGGAGCCTCAGTTTCCTCACCCAAAACAGGAGGCCCACTGTGAAGTCAGCTAGTCCCTGGTTCAAATCCCGCCTTCCCCTTTAGCTACCTGTGCATGGTGCCGGGTGGTGCAAGGGAGCCTCTGCTTCCGCTCCACTGTGAGCAGAAATGTCTGCCCAGTGCCCAGGACTGTGCAAAACAGCAGGGTGGTTGCACACCTGGATTCCGGAGCCCAGACTGTCTGGGCTCAGACCCCAGCTCAGTACCCACGTGACCTTGGCAAAGTTACTCCGCCCGTCCGTGCCTCAGTTTTTCCATCCGTGACAAGGAGATTGCAGGAATCCAGCTCTTCTGGGGGCCCAGAGACCTCCTGCGTCCTGCCTCTCTGTGGCTGCAGGGGCTCTGCAGGGGGACACTGCCACAGGAGCGGGCAGGCACCGGAGAGAGGGCTTCCTCTCTTCTGCAGTTTGCATTCACTTTTCCGACAAGCCAGTGAGCACAGAGCCAAGTCAGAGAGCTGCGGCCGCTGCGTGCTCTGCCCAGCCTCTCAGTCAGCCATCAGGGCGCTAACCAGGGGAGGCAGGGCCACCCGACCGTCACAGCCGCCGGGGGAGGGTGGCGCCTCCCAGGGAAGCTGCTGTCACCCGGTCCCATGCTGGGCTCAGCCTCCAGCTCTTGGGAGCAGGTGGTGGCTGTGTCCCAGCCTACTGGGGACCCCAGGGAGCAAGCGGCACAGGAGGCAACTGCACTCACACAGCACCAGGTGCTGTTGTGGCCGGCATGCCCAGGTTCAAATCCCAGCTCACGTCCACCCGCTGCGAGGCCCAGGGCAAGTTCCCTAACCTCTCTGAGCCCCCACTTTCTTATCTGTGAAATGGGTGTAGTAGCAGCACCTGCTTTGCGAGGCTCTTGGAAAAACTTAGTGAGATCAGATGGAAAGCACCCGGGAGGTGTGTGGGATGCAGTGACTGGTCCCTGCGTCTGAGACTCTGACCAGGAGGTCGGAGATTAGAGGCCCTAGGGGTCCACCTGGTGCAGTACAGGTGCTATGGGACTTCCTTTTCCTGCAGAGGGGGAAATAGAGGC